CCACCCCACGGCAGGGCTCCCAGCCCCCACCCCTTGTACATACTTTTTAAAACATTTTTTTAGCGAATGAAATATTGAAGTATAAGATTTCCTTTTATTTTTCAAACCAACGGGACTGTGTCTGATGTCCCCCCTCAGTCCCTGAAGGCCGTGGAAGGCAGGATGGGGTGGGGGGCTGAGGGCAGGCTGAACGTGTGGGTGCGTGTGTGGGTGTGCGTGTGTGCAGCGTGGGCGCCTGTGTCCATGGAGGGGCCCCAGTCCCAGCCGCCGCCTGGGGTCCTGGCTCTGACCACTCTCCCTTTCCCCCCATTCCCCCTCCCCACAGGGCTACAATTTAAGGGTTTCCCAGGCCTTGGCCAGTTGGGCAGGGCAGGGCCCACTTCCATTGTTACCAAGTGTTTCCAGAGTTTTTTCTTATTTACCATTCCTCACTTTTCATTCTCATCCAGAACGATTATTTTTTGTTTTTTGAGTTGTGTGTGTGCACGCAGAGGGTCCTTTTTTCATTCCCCATCCCCCCATATTGGGTGTCTTTCACCTTCTCATGGTTTTTTTGTTTTCTCATTTCTAGCCGTTGTCTCTGCCTCCCCTACTCCTACCTTCCCCTTGTTCCCGTGGCCTCTCTTCAGAGGTAGGGGGATTTCGGGAGGTGGGGTGGGGGCCAGTACAGACTGGACCCTTTGAAACTGGTTTGGAGAACTTCCCCATCCCCCCTCCGACCCAGCAGTCCCCCACTGGCCTGCTGGGGTCCCTCCTAACATCTGCTCATGGCAGGGGTGGGGAGTGTCCATCAGGGGTGTCAGGTCGGGCTGGGGTCCCAGCGCTCTGCTTTCCTTGCCCAGCCCGAGCACCTTAGCCTCCAGCCGGCCCGTGTGTGTGGGGTGGGGAGTTGACACCCCCAGCTAAAGCACAAGCACCTTAGTCACACCTCCCTGTCCCCCCCCTGGCCTGACGTCCCACCCCAGCGTTGATCCCAAAGCACAATATCCTGGTCACTTGGCAAGCAGCTGGGCCTGGCCGGGGTAGGCTGGGGCTCCAGCCAGACTCCTGAAAGGAAGCCCGAGTTCCCAGGCGCTCCCCTCCTTCCAGGCCTTAGCAGGGGGCCCGCTCTCTGGGACTGGGGTCTTCTTGCCACCCCCTTGTCCTGGGCAGGCCCCTGCCCACCCCCACCCCCCGCCTTTTCCTCCAGTGGGGTTTGCCCCTGTCCCTCCTCCAAGCCCCCTGCAGCGCTGGGTTGGGTGGCCGAGGCCACTTGTTTCAGGGACCCCAGGAGGTACCCCTGGCTCCCGGGACTGTGTTGTGGGTCTGGGGAAGGGGGGAGGTCGTGGGTGGGAAGAGGGACTGGGCAGGGGGTGCAGGGGAGGAAACTCCTCACCAGGAGAGCCAAAGACAGGGTTGTGCCTTACCCCAGGAGCCACCCCTGTGTCCCCCTCCCCTGCCATCCCCACCCCCACCCCCCCGGGCGGCCTGCTGCTTTCCCTTCCCTCCCTCCCCAGCCCTTCTCTCTGAGCTGCATGGTTCCCCCACCCTGGGCAGCCAGGAAGGAGTCCGAGTGGAGAATCACCAAGCAATGAAAACCTAAAAGACTGTGGGGCCCTCCCCGCAACTCAGCTTCCCCGGCCGCCCACTCACTATTCCCGCTCCTGCCTCTTTCACGCCGGACAGGCCATCCGCCCTGCCCACGTGAAGTGCCAACGCCCTCCCCGCCCTGGGCCGATTCCCCAACCCTACCCCCCAGGCCCTTAAGTGAGATTGCACATTAACTACTGTAAGGAGAGGAGCGGCGTTGGCAAATGTGAACCATGAGAATATCAGTGATACTGATGAGGAGAATAAACTAAACGCCTTTGTAACAACCCTGCCTGCTGCACACTGCTCACTGGGGGGCTTGGGGTGGTGGGCTCCAGAAAAGGCATCCGGCAGACTCAGGCCGCCAGTTTCTGCTTGCCAACATCCATCCAGATAGACACAGAAGGAACGCAGATCGCAAACCTAAATTCAACTTGTATCATTTAGAGTATGTGAAAGAGGGCTGGCCAGTTAGCTCAGTTGGTTAGAGCTCAGTGTCAACACCAAGGTCAAGGGTTCAGATACCCATACTGGCTGCCAAAATAGTATTTTGAAAGGGTTGTACATCTCAAGGTTTTGAAAGGACAAAAGGTTCTGTTAAATAAAATTTTTTTTAAAAAGACAAAAACAAAGACATGTCTTCAGACCCCATAGGTTAAAAAATAACATGGGATTAATTCAAAGTAACTTCGGAAGGATATTTACTGATCTTAGGGATCCTGGAGAAGGAGCCTTCATCTCAGCCCAAGAAGCCAAGTCAATCTGTGAAGACTTAGAGGGAGCTACAGACATCCATGGGGACGACAATCAAGTGATGATTCCAATTCTCAGGGCAACTCGGGTATGTTTCAATAAAGACCAGCCCCTTTGTTGTCCTGAAGCCAAAGCCCAGCTTTAGCCACTAGAAAGTAAGGTTTTTTTTTTTTTTTTTTTGTCTTTTGT